TATATACTTTATAAAGTTAACCTTTATGAAGACATTTCATGCACTTAGTTCCTTTTGAACTTCTAAACAATTTCTCTTGTTCAGAAGTTCATTTTTTGTATCATACTTATTTATTTTTCCTAATAAGCAAATGTTAAATGATATGCTTTTTAAATCTTCATCATGGTTGTGCTCTTATGGTGCAAAATTGTACAGTAGTGCACATAGCAACACTGTGCAAAACAATATCTACTCACATGATGAAGCGGTTGTTATGTATTCCATGTCAGGGCTGCTTTACCCAGACTGGATCAGGAATACTTGTTTTGGATGAAGAATCGCTCAGTTTTGGTGAGCGTGAATGGCAACAAGCACAGACTGAACAGGTTTGATGCCCAGGTGGGACTGCCAAGGTGTGTCTAAAACAAATGACTTCAAATGATCCAAAACATATTCAGAAAATGAATGATATAAACTGAAACATGTTTCTCCATGTGATATGAATCCAGACCTGAGTCCTACACAGATGATCTGGAGCTGGCTGAAGGACTCACAGAGGGTAAGGATAGATTAGAGGCTGGTTTCATCTTCTTCTTGGGCTTTGTGGAGCATATATAGTTGAATAAATATGCAGATACCTGACCTATTGATATTGTATATTGCATTTAAAACAGAATGGTGTCCATTTTAGTTCTTTATTAAGGCAGAAGTTGCTTTTATTACTTTGTTTAAATTTGTGTTTGGCTATACCATGGAGAGAGCTATAAAAAGATCTCAAATGCAATGATTGGCAATCACCAGTAGAGGATGAGCTAGAGCATACACTACAGATAAGGTTCTAATCAGCTGTTCTCAAATGCAGTTAAAGATTGATACTAAAATACATGGATAAAAACAACAAAGATTAGTAAACCAGAAGTTATACTGCAATCTACTATTATTAGAACTAGTGTTACTTTGTATATATATATGAAAACATGAAACTCATAATGAAAGTAAAGGTAGTTAGTCTTGTTACAATTGTAATAACTAAAACTGTGTATTCTACTCAGATTCCAAGCAGCAGTTGTGGATGGACATTACAGCTGGAGCAGAGTCTGGCTGGGACTTCTCTTCTCGCTGGTACATGAACAGTACAGGTCAAAACTCTAGCACCCTCAAAGACACTCGCACCAGCCAAATCGTGCCCTCTGACCTTAATGCCCTGCTGTGCCGCACTGAGAAGACGCTGGCTTCTTTTCACCGAATTCTGGGTGAGTAGTCTAATCTGCTCTGCGACACAAAGCCCTCTTATATAATCTCATATAAGGAGCATGTGTGCTTTTGTGACAGGCTCTAATGAGTCAGCAGCACTTTATGAGCAGGCAGCACAAAACAGACTACGTGCCATGGATGCAGTGCTGTGGGATGAACAGCTGGGGGCGTGGTTTGACTACAACTTGCAGACAGGTTCTAAACGTTTGGAATTCTACCCCTCCAACCTGTCACCTCTCTGGGCACAGTGCTACCCTGAAGAGAAGAAGGCACACAGGGCAGTGCAGTATCTCAAGGTTGGTATGAACTTTTGAACTTGAAAAAGTCTCAAGTGAAGGATATCGGTAATGTTAAAATAATTTAATAATAATATCAGTTATATTGGTAATGCCTCTAGGATGACCACTTTGCCTCTTTTGGTCATCCTGCACAGCCATTTAGGTCTCAGTCCTTCTTCCTGCCAATTTAGAGAATGTCCAACTTTTTTATAGATGTCACTTGAATTATATAAAAAGATTTACATAGAAAATGCTAAAATAATATTTTTTTCCCCACAATGAAATCAGGACTTTTTGGCTGTTTTGGCTGTCAGAATATGTTTTTACCTGTCACTATTTAAGACTCTCTGTGCATTGCGATTGATACCACCACACATTTTGAGTTCTTATCTATGAGCTTTCCTTTAACATGTGGCCATAACAGCTTGTCAAAGCCTGATCTTGTCAGATCTCAAAAGCTAAGCAAAGCCAGACCTGGGTAGTACTTGGATGGGAGATTGCTGGGAATACTGGTGGGGTATTCACCCACATTGCCTACATTGTACTGAAGTCAAAGTGATGACAAGTGTACTTTTATTTTCATATTTCAGTGTGAAAATAGTACGAATGTCCTTTTTTCCTTTAGTTTTTCATATGACACAGAATCCTCCCAGTTATGTGAGTCCAGAAGTGCACAACATCGCACTGTGACTCAGCATCTAACACTATAAACATTTTAGTAAGTGTCCTCACAGTGATGGAGGGAGGAGAAGATCCATCCCTCTCTTCATCAGCTGTCAAACCCCATCCCTCTAGTGCACTGTCAGATGTTTTATATTTTCTCTGATGTTGTACTTTTTATCCCCACTAGAGGGCACCGACGCACCACGAAGCTCTGTGTGTATCTTTGCATTACAGGGGAGTGGCGCTCTCAAGTACCCAAATGGAGTCCCTACATCACTGAAGGAGTCCGGACAGCAGTGGGACTATCCCAATGCTTGGCCTCCTTTACAACATATGCTGATCGAGGGTGAGGGAAGACGAGACATACATTTGACTCTTATATCTGCAGCTTCACCAACTGACATACCATTAGAGTTTCTACCAGCAGTCAAAACCTTATGAGATTGTGCCATGTGCTGGTCTTTTGATACCTATCTCTGGGAATCTGAAAATTCCATATAAATTAAAGGGGCATTATGTAACCGTTTGGAGGTTCCATCACCTGCTTCTGTCCATGGAGATGTTATTACATAGCCTGTAATATTCCACATCATGGCATTAAATATATGAGTCTTCATGAGAACAGGCAGGTGAATCTATCATGCCAAGTTACAGGTCAGATCTGTGGAGAGGCGACCTTCCGTACAGCAAAAATACATGTTTTTCACTGCTATTTTTTAGAGCTTAATGTATCTATAATTGAAAACAATTAAAAATTGTTACCTTTAATGCCATATTGTGGAACATTTCAAGTCAAGCCATCCACCAGAAAAGTTAATATATGGTACACCTTTAAATTATTTCAAACCATAATTGCAAACTATTCCTATTTAGCGTTTGGCTTTAGTTCCAACACCTCCAGTCCTCATCAAGCGCTTGTTCCCTGTCCCTGAGATCTCTGCCAGGCTCACAGCTGCCGCAGCCAGCTCTCCTCTCCTGCGCTCTCTGCTGTTTTGCCTCCAGCCTGATCTATAGCAAATGAACACACAACAATTTGGAAACAGGTCAACCACATTCTGCGAAAATTAATTTGGCAGCGCAGTTAGTATCTTTGTTAGTGACGCATTTTTCATTTGACCATAGAGTCTTTTTACTGTCTGTTTGTTGGGAAGAATACACAATGGCACACTGATGTTGCGGTATAAAAACAAAAACTAATTATGTTATACAAGTATATTTTAGAATGCTAATAATCACAAGAACTACTATTCTACAAGCCAGTGTTATAAGCAAGTGTTTCTCTATGTGCTGGCTAGCCCATACCGTGTGTCTGAACTGAAGTACAAAATTGCTTTTTCCACTACTGCAAAAAGCCATATTGTATCTTCAGGTTTATCTAAGGTGCCTTCAGAAGATGCTAAACAACTTGCAGAGGACTTGGCACAGAAGTGGATTCGCACCAACTGGATGGCGTACACGAAGTATGAAGCCATGTTTGAAAAGGTGAGAAAACTTGGCAATTCAAATGTGAGTCTTGTACAGTGGTATCATGGCTAATACTCTTCCTCCCACAGTATGATGTGAATGGGGATGGTAAACCCGGCGGTGGAGGGGAGTATGAAGTCCAGGTACTTTGCATGTGTTTTGTGTCCAGAACTTGTTTGTCACTTTGTCTCTGCTTTATTTGCATGCTAATGTACTATCTTCCATTTCGTGTCATCTCATTTCAAATAAGACCATTTGTTCATTTTGCTGCTCGGCTGAGTTTGGATGTGACATTCTGTCTTTGGTACATATCCACAGTAATTTAGTTAGAACAGTGTGGAATGCACACTTTGAATTTTGTTACATGTTAATTTTCCTCCAGGTCCCAGCCATTAAATGTGAATTACATCAAAATCTACTTTATTTCAGTTGAGTAGTGAAAGATTTAGTATACACTGCCAAGAATTTCAATATGTTTTTATTGTTTTTGAACTTAGATTTGATTGTTTACAATTAATCAGGACTAAAAATCTATTGGTCTTAAAGTAACTACCGCATTATAAAACTATATTATAGATTTAAGTCCAGAACTAAATGTAGCTCTCCTCAGTAGTCTCTATTCTCCATTATACTGCCCAATAATGCCCTTTGGATGCATTAACAAATTTATAAGTAAATACGACATTTCATTCATTTTGTGCCAAAATAAAGAATTTGATTTAAACTGTTATATTGTGTTTAGTCTTTATATTTTCTTAAATACACAGCACTATGGGACATTTGATTATGACCACCAAAAAGGGAGCTCATTTGTAAGCCTCTGCCTGTTATTCTTCCATGCTATTGTGCTCACCTGCTTTGATGTGTTTGTGTGTGCATAGCTTGGCTTTGGCTGGACTAACGGTGTGGCCCTTCAGCTGCTGGACCAGTACGGAGCCTCTCTCACCTCGGGCAGCAGACACAGCGGCCCTGGCCTCCTCCTCCTCTTCCTCCTGCTCCTCTCAGCCCTTTTCACGCTCCACTGACGCCATGGTGACACGGAGCACACCTGGAGGCTCTGTTTTAGTCTGGCTTTCATTGCACCACATCAGTCACTACAGCCCCTCTGGTACGCTGGAACTAACCACCAACATCTAGTACAGTATGTGTTGCTATGTGTATGATTATTTAATTTAATACCATTGATTTTGTGGGTAATATTAAAGGTATATATTATGTAAAATCGACTTTTATGAGCTTGTTGTAATGGTGTTCCCTCATCATTAGTTTGCTCAGAGCTGTATCCCGATTGATCCATGGACGTTTGAGTAATGCAGTAATCTCCTGCATTCAAGGCGCGAGTGCTTAGAATTTCAGTTTTCACCTTCCCCCTGTCTCCGCCCACTGTACTTCCATAAGCATTTTGCCACAATAAAAAGTATTATGAAGCCATTTTAAATCAATAGTGTGGTTTACAATTTAAAAAATGTAAAGTAATGACCCACGTATGCTGTAGTTGAATACTAAATGCCAATTTTTTAACCAATAAATTGTCATGTTGTAATGTTGCTTTCACTATAATACAAAGTTAAAATGTAAAAAAAAAATACTTTGAGAAAAATAAAATGAAGAAATCAACTTGCATTATTCAGTTGATAATAGGTTTTCATGCTTGAGCTGTGCTGCTTATGTGATGGGGATTCAAAATGGCTCAGAAATGGATATCGCTTACAGTGTGTAATCGTCTCCGGCGTGTTATCAAATTAATAAATATGAGCTCTGGTTATCTAAACATTTATAGTGAATTTGCATTGAATTATTTTTCTTGGGCCCATGATCTGATTAACTATAGAAGTGTAGCAGGATTTATATACAGGAAGAATAAGAACCAATTTCTCAGTTTTTCGAACCCTTTTCTCCAAATATAGGTACTTTAAAGGTACATTGTGGAACTTTTTTGGTAGAAGGTCCGTCAAATGCTTTTCTCCATGAAGATGTTATTGCTTGTCTGGTATGTTTTGCAGTATGGTATCAAACCATCGCCATGGAGACCAAACCAGACCAAGTTACAGGTCAGATCTGTGGAGAGGCAACCCTGCACACAGTCAGAATGCCTGTGAGTATTTATTCACCTGTAATTGAATAAATGTAAGGTAGAGCTGTTTAACGTCATACTGTGGAACATTTCAGGCAGAGCAGTGGCATATCCATAGAAACAAGCAGGTGACGGAACCCTATCCAAAAAGTTACATAGTGCACCTTTTAACTATCCATTTTAAATATAGTTCAACATCTTTTACGAATCAGAAATCATACCATTTATTTTTAAAAGAACAGCCTTTGACCCATGTACATTTTTATTAAAGGAGAAACTATTTTAAATGGAAACCAAAGACAAAAAGTCATTTCTACTGTACAATTTCTGCTTGTGCATCTATGTCAAAATCCAGGTCAAGCATGAAATTAAGTCCATACAGACATTCAAATACTTGTCAGAAAAAGTAATGAGAAATTTGCCTGTAGAAGAAGAATTTGCATCCCTTGCGGTTGTGGTAGATGTACATTTCTAAGCAGGGATTTCAGTGCATCTGCCTCTTTAGCCTGAGTGCGCACAGCAGATAGAGTGTGCTACTTAAATGGGTAAAAGGCCAATAGGAGCAGTGGTCCATGCTGTCCCAAAGATCACTGTGGTAATGTGCTATTGTAAGCCTCCATCTACATGTCATATCAGCTGCACTGGCCCATCCTACGCTCTGAGCTGTGACACCCGCCAGGCAGCAGCTGGGAGCGCTACGTGTGTTTAGACCGATTTAGCAGCAGGCAAAGGCAGGCATTATGTTTGACCCTCACTGACACAACTAAATCAAGTACAAACTACTCCCCTGCAGTACTTTAGAGAATATGCAGGCTTCCTTCAGAAAAGTACACTAAGGGAAACTTAAACTACAGTATGAACAAATCAGTTTCACCACCTGCAAAAATGACAGTCATCACTTGATATAGTGCTACACTTTTAGAACAGCTATAAGTCAACTGTATTTTTTTAATGTTTATAATCTCAGATTTTGATTTATTCACCATACTTTAAATGTGCACTATGTGACTTGTGATGAGGGAGCTTGTCTCCATGGAGATTCTTATTGCATTAACTGGATGTTCCAGTGTGTGGCATTACACTTATCTCCATGGAAACAAGCAAATAACCTGCAATATGGCCTTGTGGTGCTTTTAGGAAATAAAACACCCAAAATGGAATACATATTTTATATAAATAATAAGTTAGTCAAGTTTAATGCCACGCTGAGGGATATTCCAGGCTAAGTATCCATGAAGAATCAGGTGGCATACCATCCGTCATAAAAGTTACACAGTGCACCTTTAATTGGGCCACTTTTTGTCCTAGAAGACACCAGTAGTCATGTTTTTAGTCTGTTTAATGGTTATAGTGATTATTATTATTATTATTATTATTGGTGTGTAAATTCACCACACTAGGTAAGTATTAGGAACTGTATAGATGATTATGCATACATAAATAAATCTATAATGTAATGACTAAACCTAATTCGTAATTAATGCCTGATATATTGGCACACACGTTTTGAATTACACAGCTGATATAACTGTACTTTCCTTTTTATGCTATTGAACTGTATGTAGTCTAGCTGCTTAAGCGTGGCTACATCACAGGAGTAGTCGGGCTCTTGTAAAGCAGCAGTGACAAGTGCGTTACATATTGTTGTGGAAGCAAAGGTCACGGCATCATGTCCTCGGCAGTCTCCCAGTTACTACTTGTGCATACAAACTAGCAGCGTCCCACACAAGATGCTTCTCAGTTTTAACCATGTGAAAATGTATTCTTTTGTTCCTTGGAAATCAACATTCTGTAGTTATGTTGCTATTCACAATTCTATATCGAGTTCAGCTAGAATAATTATATTCATATCAAATATACAAGACTGTGAAATGTCTTTCTATGATTGAGTACGTAGAAGGATTTTCCCCAAAAACTCTCACAAACAAGGTCAACAAATTTACGGTAGCTTACGGATTTCCAATTGTTCATTATGACAAAGCAGACATAGAAAAATAACTCTCCTGGTTCACTCATAGTTACTTGAATGTCTTGCCCAAGGACTTAAAACTATATCCACTGGGTTAGAGAGTGCATCTAAAATAAAATTGTATTACTCAGAAAATTCTGTTGACGTCTGTCAGTATTAAATATTATTATTATTATTTATTATTATTATTATTATTATATTCAAAATTTGATATGCTGACAACTCAATATACAGTTTTCACAAAACACTGAAAACTATGCAATTATTTGTGAACAGTTTTTTCTTCAACCTCATTCCAGTAAAGCTCCATGTCACCTGATTTTTTTTTTACTGCATGATGTTCTGAAATCTGTAAAATGCTCTCAAAGCGCAGTGGGGCTGGAGAGAGCGGGGAACAATGGCGGCGGATTCCTGCTGTATTTGAGTGGGGCTTCCCTTACAAAGCCCGCTCTGGCCCCTGCAGCACACATCACACACTGCTCATTATCCGCTGAGTCCTGCACGGGCTGTCCCACTCTGCACCGCCAGCTTCACCCCTCTGCAATGGATCTGGCAGTGTGTGGGAAACTAGATACATAACAGACTATTCTAAAATATATATTGTAAATGCATTGTATTTCTCATTGGCAGTCTTAGTAGTAATTAGGTAGAGGCACTCAAAATTATATTGGAGGTTGGTGTAGTGGTAATGCTTGTATAACAGCATAGTAAAAACAGTAGTAGCAGTTGCAACAAGGTACAAATCATTCTAGCCCTAAGTAAGGTAAAATAAATAACATTTGGTGGTAACATAGTATACCAACTAATATTTTTTATTAGTAGTATTTTACTTGAATACAGATTACTTTTTCTTGCATGCTTTGTGGCATTCTATTCCTGAGTGCAGACGTCTCTCTGATTCACACTCTGCCCTAATCAATAACTCATTGAGGGAGCATGCCTGTGTCCCTGTGCAACGCATTTCCTAATTATGACCACTGCATCCAAAGCCATTCTCCAGTCTCTGGTTTAGCCACTAAATAGTTTGGAGATGAATCCTGATCCTTGACCTCTAAAGTGAAAGGATTGGCTAACTGCAGGCATTATACAGATAAATATAAGATAGCTTAGTAATATTGATTTTGAAGTGGCTGGAGATATCAGGCTTTTCATAATCGATAAGTCTTGTGGTATCATTCCCATAGACTTTCTGCTGCTTTAGTGGACATTTGATCAAATGAAGGGCGATCTGTTATTTAAAGGAAATGTAATATTGTCAGGGCAGATCTTCTCTCAACATGAGGGTTTATGGAATGATCAGAATTCAAAATGCAGTGAAATTTTCTATATTGCAATATTGATACAGATACAGCCTTTTTTTTGTTCCATTTGACCTCACACATATTAATGAGACAGTCCATCCAGCTAACTGGAATAACAACTATAACTTGGTATTGTAACAGTAGGGAACTACAAATATATGCAGTATAAGGCAATATTAAAGGTCTCATGTCTCTTTGAGAGCCTATGCCTTTTTGGTCCCGTATTTGATTTGATTTTTCTGAGTGAGACGACCTGTTTAATTTTGTTGAGCGAAATAAACTAAACTGAACTTGTGACACTATGACCATCAGATTGTTTTTTGCCAGAGCATCATCTGTGTACTTTAAAGATGGACATTGGACCTGGCAGTGTCTGCAGCAGGTGTCTTGTGCCCATCACTCAAGGTGTCAGGTGCAGTGACTATTTTGGCAGGTGACCTCCTTGTCTAGGGTAAGTCGTGGGTTTTGGACCTTGGTCTGAGATCTGGACTTTGGTCCTTTGGTTTGAGCTTGTGTATGAAAATGAAAGAAGTATTCAATAGAACTGACATGTAATAAATTACTTATTCAGTGGTGTAATTTCAATGTTTTGGGTCATTGCCTCAAAACTAATGTTTAACACCTATGTATTTCCTCCTCCTGTAGCCTGACTGCCTCTGTGTGTAACCTGCAACTAATATAGGTCTCATAGGCTAAATGTGCCAATCTGGCCTGCATTCATGTTCAACATGAACATAGAACCACAGAAACTGACTAAACAATATCATTATCATAAAGTGCTTGCAGGTTGAAAATAGTTACTCAGTGATGAGAATAAAGACAATTTTACACTGAGGGCTTCTATTGTCTTTCACTTGAGTAAACAGGATGTGTGTTATGTCCTCTACATTTCCAAAGCCCACTGTGAGGCTGTAGTGCCCTTTATGTGATGAGAATCAGCCTTGTTATGTCTCATTCAATATTACGGGCACTCAAAAAAACCTATCAACGCCACACATTGTGCCACACTCATGGCAAATGGGCAACTTTTACCCCATACTTGAAATGTTTTCAAGAAAAAAATAACAACTAATCACATGCTCCCAGTTGTCTTCAGAAACAATTTAGTTGTGTTTGAACCGAAAGCCCGACAATCACACACAATATTTCACACTGATTTTCCCATTATCCATCAGAGTGGGATGTCAGTGCAGTGACTGACTCCGATCAATAGCTCTGGTGCTGGTTAGGGCTGGACTTGTCAGATACAGACCTGCAGCTGCAGAGGGAACGTTTGGGTTGTCTGTGTAATGGAGAGTTCTTATGCGTTGTGAATATGCTGCTCCTCTTACGTGTGAGGCTACCACACTCATGCTCACTGCTCTTCCACATTAAAGCATGAAAGAGCTGTTGTGTAAAGTCTTCTCCTGAGAGCAAGCCTTTGCACTGTGAGACTGAAAACAACACAACAACA